TTTTGCTCATAGATTTCTCTATCACATCTTAATCAAGTGCCTGAGCCACCTCATCTGGCTCCTCTCGACAAGGAGAAGTGGACTCTGAGCCCCTCCCGGATGACCGTTGCTTCGAAACCTTATCTCTCAGGGAGAGCCCGGACACGCTGCAGAGGAAAGTGATTTCGGACACTTGTTTGCGGAATCTTGGTTTTTCGGTCATGACCCACAGCTTGTGACCAGAGGTGAGGGTAGGAATGTAGGTCGACAGGTAAATCAAGAGCCTCACCTTTTGGCTCAGCTCCTTCTTCACCACGACAGACTAAAACAAAGATGCTGCACCAATCTGCCTGACATCCCGCTCCATCCTGCCCTCCCTCGTGAACATGAAGTTGATGAAATGTTTTTTTAAATGATGTGGAACTCCAAATCTGGCCCCTGGCCCTTGAGTTTGACACCTGTCAATTACAGGATGTAAGTATTAGGGGGAAATGTCAATTCTAGTAATTGATTCACTCCGGCATGCATGTATGAAGAACAAATGTCGCACAGCAAGACCAGCCTAATAGAAACCTTTGTGAGAACAAAAGGAAAATAAATTAAATGCCTCACCTAATGACAGCATGACCTTTCTAATGGGTGTACAAGGCAGGTTGCGTCTTGCATTTGCAGCTGTGAGGCAACATCGGAAACAGCAGACGATAATTAACACAGTCCAGTGATGTGTAATGAGGTTTATGATTGGTAAGTAGTCAGAAATAAAAAAAAAAAAAGCAAAATAAGATGAGCAGATATTTCACTTCTGACCTTCATTAAAACACATCTCAATTCTGGTAAAAAATGAATTTTTGAATATTCGTTTTCAAAGCTTTTAATTATGTTCCAAGTGATTCAACACCATTCAACAATGTGATCGGAAGAAATACAAACGAAAAATTAATAGACACTCAAGTTCATTGTTGTTGGGTTGTTGTTTATTGGAGATTATTTAAAGCAAAAAGAACATTTGACCATTCCTGAATATTTAATATGAAAGCCCCGATTATAAAATGACCTAGACATCTGCTATCAAAACTGCATGTCTGATGTTTCTAACAAATCAATCTGTGTCAAAACCTGTAGAGAATTGGATGAGTTATGAATTGATTGGATGCAAGCGGTTACCTCAGCACGAGTAAATGGAAGAGATCGCCAGGGATTCCAAGATGGTGACTTATGGCCTTCTCAAATGTCATGACTTTTTTGCCATTCACGATAGTCACACCGTCAGAATATCAGATAGATATTACACCCGGCTGGGGAGGCCTTGCCCCTGCTGTTCAATGAGAAAAGGCTACTTATTTTCCACGATTTAACCTCTGATGTGGCCAAGTGCAGGGTGGCATTTACGCGGGTAAAGAGAGAGCTTCATTCCTGTATTATTGACAAATTTGGCCTCTGGTATGGCCTGACTACTCGCTTTGAAGACCCGGACAAGGTGTTGGAATTTGTTTGCAAAAAAAAAAAAAAAAAAAGTAATAATAATCAGATGTCCCAGGATTCGATGGACGGCTGAATTTCTTTGTCAGGGTATGTTGCTTTTGTTTTTTTTTTTTTGTTTGTTTTTTTTGCCAGTGACGTTCAACTTCAGCAAAACGGTTTTGTTAACTGCACTAGTTTTCCGGGATTCTGCGATGTGGAACTTGCAGTCTTGGATGAATGCTTTTGTGCTTTCTGCATTTGTTACATTTTGTATATGTCCATTTGGTCTTCCTGCCTAATTAATTCTCCAAGGAGTGTTTTCACAGTTTTCTTGGCACACTACTTTGTTCCTCTGATTTTTTTTTCTTTATTGCTCTTTACACATGGATACTTATTCTCTTTATTATTATTATTCGTAGTAGTAGTAGTAGTGGTAGTAGAGATAGTAGTTTACTCATTATTTTTTGTTATAATTTTTTTTTTTTTTTTTTTTTTTCAACTTCAGCAAAACGGTTTTGTTAACTGCACTAGTTTTCCGGGATTCTGCGATGTGGAACTTGCAGTCTTGGATGAATGCTTTTGTGCTTGCTTGCTGAGGACGGAAATGTTATTTGCTCTTGTGGGACAGTTCATTGTTACATTTCCCAAGCCATCAGAGCGTACGGCTAGCTGTTAGTGGTTTTAGTTTGTTGAGAGGTGAGGTAGCACACGCCCCATTTGAAGGTGCCTCTGCTAAGAGAGAGCAGGGGGTTCTCTTGTGTTTGTTTTGGTGTTTTGGGGGTTACGATCGAGGGGATTCAAATGAGGTGGCTCGGGCATCAGAATAGGATGCCTCCTGGACGCCTCCCTGGTGAGGTGTTCCGGGCATGTCCCACCAGCAGGAGGCCCCGGGGTCGACCCAGGACACTCTGGAGAGATTATGTCGCTCAGTTGGCCTGGGAACGCCTCGGGATCCCCCACGAAGAGCTGGGGAGAGGGAAGTCTGCGCTTCCCTAATAAAGCTTTTGCTCCAGCGACCCGACCCTGGATCAGCGGTTGAAAATGGAATGGATTGCCATATTTTCCGGATTATAAATCAGTTTTTTTTTCATAATTTGGCCAGAGGTCCGATTTATACTCCAGAGTACAGGTGTCAAAGTCTGGTACTCGAGGGCCGGTGTCCTGCATGTTATCCATTTCTCCCTGATGCACACACCTGATCCAAATGATCAGCTCATCAGCAAGCTCTATGGGAGCCTGATAACGATCCTGATTATATAAATCATTATTTTGTCCTCAACCTCCACTTATTCAAAAAAAATTATATTTTATTGTCTTAAAATTTGGAATGTACCCATGATACGAAAGCTAGATTGGCCAAAATATTTAACACAGTTTCTCCCTTTTGTGAGCGGTGAATACAGGTTAAAGTGTTAGGGTACAGGAAAAGGAGAACTAGCAGTGGCTCCAAGAGCGAGTGGGGAGCAGGATAATTGTAGTGTAACGTGGTCCGTGGGGAAAACGCAGAGGCAGGCTTGGGCAGGGAGGCACACTTGTAATTCACGAATCATCACGACGGTCCTCCTTTAAAATCCAGAATTTTCTTTTCGGCGGCAATTGTTTTGGCTTTTACTCGGATCTGCACAGTGGAAACACCTCGGCATCTCTTCTCTCTGTGTTCACCCAGTCTTCAAGAACGTTTTCCAGTTTGGGCCACGTAATTTGATGACCTCTGAAAGCTTTTGTTGTCTTTTTCATTCTTCCATCAAAAATTCCATCAAAACTTTGTGTGCCACACTAAAGATTTTTATAATACCGATTCCTGTTCTCATAATCCCTGTGAGCAAACTTGGCATCCTTCTTGCCGTGCGGGATCCGACCGAAGGGCGCGTGGTCATTTTAACACGTGTCGAAGACCTCATCCACGATTTTCCCGCTGCCGTTTCCAATGTCTCACCATTGATTCATTGATGCCAAGTTTACGTGCAGCAGCTCAATTCCCTTTTTCATCAGCCAGCTCGATTGCTTTTAACTTAACTTGCGTCACATGCATTTCTCTTAGCATTTTACATGGTGAGGCTTTATGTTAATCTTATTCATGCGCAAAGCAACAAATGACATGAAAAGTCAAAACTAGCGTCTTCCTCGACACATATTCCACCTGTCTCACTCTTTTCTGCTCGAGCGCTCCCTGGCAGCCGTTAGAAAAATGCATAAACAGGCCGCATCATTGCATAAACCGCAGGGTTGAAAACGTGTGACAAAAATCGCGGCCTGTAGTCCGGAAATTACGGTCCATATGTTTTGGCTTTGTCCTTCATTAAACTGATATTGGTCCAATATTTTGACTGTGCTGTCCAAGGTCACACGGGTGTTTCACAGCTTGTGACGATTCCCCCCCACCTTCCTCCCCTCCCTGCCCCACCCTGTTTATTACATGTGTTGAGGTTTGTTTTTCTCTTTTTCAAACCATGCGCTATTGAAGGAGAATGGTTGGAGTATATCTTTTTGTTTTCTGTCACCCCCATGTTAGTTATTGCTGTCTAGTTTATGGTCCTCTGAACAGGTTGTCACTGGGAAGTAAATTCCTTGTATGTTTCTTGCATACTTGACCAATAAGTCTGATTCAGATTCTGAATGCAAAACCAGCAGACATTCCAGCAGCTTCTCCCCCCTTGTCAATAACTTGCGAAAAAAATGATTTGATTTTTAATTCCTGAGTGAAATTTTGTCAATTTCTTCCAATTTTGCATTGTGTTGTGACATTTTTGCAGAATTCATTGTTGTCACATTATTTTCATAACTTTCGTTGATCTTTACGACTGCACTGCTGGTCACGTTAAATTGCTTTAGGCTTCTCGGGATCATTTACATAATTGTCATTTTATCAGTTCTCTCATTCTATGGGACACAATATAATTTCTCAATGGCACCATTCTTCAGGTTTATGTCCAAAATGTACATTTTGTTTGCTGTAGTGTTAGGGTGGCTCTACCTACCAGTGATAAATTTATTGTGTATTTTAATCGGGTAAGTAATGGTGATTCTGATTTTTATTTTCACACGGACATTATGGGCGCAAAATAATACAATATGTAACAAGTGAAAAGCTGTGGGTTTTTTCAGCCACATATTTTACTCGAAAGGGCTGATAACTGATATCATGGCACATGATTATTTCAACTCATGTGCCATGTATCGGAATTGATACTGACTAATTCAGAGGAGACAAACTGCTTAGTTGTCTTTGCAAAGCAACAGTACCTTTCATCAATGACACCACACAGCTCCTTGTTGCTTGACTGATTAAAAATAACTAAATAAATAAAAAAATTTTCAGCAGTTTGAAGTCATGTTACGACTCCATGTACCTGCGCATAAGATCCCAGCGGTGGTGAACTTTTGTGTGCTCTACTCATTTGAAAATGACTCAATTAACTGATGCCTTACAGCTTGGCATCATGTCAAAGAAATACCGCTTGGCAATACCCACTGAATAGAAACCACTTACTGTAATTGTGTGAAAACAAAAGAGAATGAATTAAATAATTCACCTTAACAAGGGCCCCACCAAGTGATATAAGCTCTCTGGTCATGACTGTGAGGCGACAGAAGAGAGACGGAACCAGGACTGACAACAACGCAAGCCTGAGAGGGTTTCCAAGAGCAAACTTGAGTGTGTGTGGTGAGTACTATCGCCATCCTGAAGTATTTTCAGGGAACACAACGTTAATGTTGGACATGTTTGGTGTTGCGCTTTGTACACTCAAGTGAAAAATATTCATTTTGACTCAGGTTTCATTGTATCACACACTTCCAAACCAAACATATGACAAAAATGTTTTAATTACAGACAACACCTTCATCAGTGAAGTCGTGAAATATCCATCCTTCAAGAATGCTTGAACAATCAAAAATGAACCATCTAATGTGATTTTTATTGTTATTATATTTTTTCATAAACATCACAGAGATTATTTTATTTATTTATTTATTTTAAGTTAAATCAGGGCGGCCCAATGGTCCTAGCAGTGCAGAGGTGCAAGGTTTGATTCTGGCTGCAACCTTCCTGTGTGGAGATTGCATGTTCTCCCCATGCCTGCGTGGGTTTTCTCCGGGTACTCCGATTTCCTCCCGCATTGTAAAGACATGCGTGGCAGGTTAATGGAACACTCCAAATTGTCCGCAGGTGTTAGTGAGGGCGCGGATGGTTGTTTGTCTCTGTGTGTCCTGTGATTGGCTGGCGACCAGTTCAGGGTGTACCCTGCTGGCTTACCAAAGACAGCTGGGAAAGGCTCCAGCACCCGCCGCAACCCCTTTGAGGATAAAGCGGATCAGAAAATGGATGGATGAAAGTAGTCGACGTGCTAACCAGCGGACTACCGGGCCGCCGAGACATTATTTAGTGTTTCCTTTATGCTTACCATATTTGTACATTGGAACAATGCATATTTTTTTTAGTTGTGTCAAAGATGTAACATTTCCGTAATGCTGCATGAAGAAAAATGCTTTCATTATTTTAGGAATGATGGGCAATGCAACTTGATATATACATTGCAGAATTACAACATTTAAAATCATTTAAAAATAAAAGAACTGAAGACACTTAAAACAAAGTCCAGAGACAAAAGAGAAAGTACCGTACTAAAATTACTTCGACAGTGGAAGAAACATATTTTTACAGCTGTATTTAAGTAAAAAAAAAAAACCTTTATCAGAGCCCTTTATAAGAGCATAGTTTTTAACTTGGACTTGAAAGCAGTCACACTTGGGGCTGACTTCATACTCCCAACAAATAACATAAAGTCTTTTGGTGTTCAATGAATTTTGTTTTTCCGGTTTATATGGCTAACACTGAAACATGTTTTGGACCCAAGTGATCCATCAATGACATTCTTAATGTCTTTGAGTCGGTGCAAGAAAAAAAAAATCTCTCCTCGTGACAAAGCTTGCTGGGGTGATATGCTCCACTTTGTCAGCCTCATTATCCTGACACTTGCACAAAAAAGCAACGTTGCAATTCATCTTTGGCAAGCCAGAGGGAAGCACAGTAGAGTTCAGACCTTGGGGGGGGAAAACTAAGTCTCTCCATACTTGCGGATGCATGAAATGCACAAGAGCAGGCCGAAGTTATCACGCTTTTGAGACGATGGATGGTGCTTCAAAAACAAAACTTAGATTCCCCTTGAATTTTTTTACAGCAAAAATAGAATTTAAAAAGTCACATATCAAAGGAATGTTACAAGCGATATTACTAGAAACATATTGTTGTTTTGTGACAATTGCTTCGTGTCACACACACACACACACACACACACACACACACACACACACACACACACACACACACTTTCTTGAGGAGTTTGGTCACTGTTTCTAAGTTAAGAAAAGTTGTTTGTTTTAGAATGGAGACACTGTTCAGATGTTCAAGTCAGTGAAGCAAAAATATTAACACCGAAGTCTGTTCTTTTTGACGTTTGTTTTCACAAAAAGCTCTTTTTCTCCAAAGTTTGTGAGAAGTGGATGAATTTTGTAAAATTTTGCTGTGTTCTCCTGCTGATTACGACAGAAAAACACCCGCAAGAAAGGTAGAATCAACCTTTTATTGTCCACTGGTTAACCCAAAACAATCTTGAAAAAGTTGTGATGTACTGCCATTCAGTATTTTCCACAACAAATGGGGGATGGTCCCACTCCCACAAAAAAAGTCTCTGAAATTTGAAACAAATAATCTCCAAATAAGTGAGGGGACGCAAAAATGCTAGACGTCCACTGTGTTCTACAGTGCAAACCCTTGTTAACAAATAGATTGTGAAGACAAAGGCTTTTGCACGGTGAGGTGCTGTGTGACCGTGGACTTTGAAGTGCATGTTTGGTGCTGGCACCATGTTCGTCAATGACACAAAAAAAAATTATTTCCTGAAAATTAGTGGTGTAAGTAAATATGAGAATTCCATCCAATGGCCACATTAAGATTGGCAGGGAGTTATGACTCTTCTTCCGAGTCGCAGTCCAGGTGTCTCGTGACATGGCATGGCACCTGGGCCTCACCAAACTGACAGTGTCCAAGCAGCCAGTTCACCTTGTTCACCTGATGGACCTTCTCTCGATGTACATTTACATTCCCTTTTCACTGTCTTTTTAGGACATCATCAGCCACAATGAGCATTCTCAAGGTGCTCACTGTTGCCCTTGTGCTATTTGGTAAGTCATCAAACTCTCAACGATCAAGTAACAGAGTTAGTGAAAAGTTACCGTGGAGTAAATATGTCAACTTTTTTTTCACAGGAACCAGCAGTCTTTCTGCTAAAATAAAGAGACAACTGCCATCAAATTCATTTTTTACTCCAAATGACCACAGTCCACCTGGATCAGGACCACCTGGGCCACCAGGGCCACCTGGGCCACCAGGACCAACCGGACCACATGGCCCACCAGGGCCAGATGGTCCACCAGGACCTGCTGGACCAGGTGGTCCACCAGGGCCAGATGGCCACCCAGGACCACATGGACCAGATGGTCCACCAGGGCCAAATGGGCCACCCGGACCACCTGGACTAGATGGGCCCCCAGGACCACCTGGACCTGATGGGCCACAAGGACCACTTGGACCCGATGGGCCACCAGGACCACATGGACCACCTGGACCACCAGGACCACCTAGTGCACCAGGACCACCTGGACCACCAGGTCCTCCTGGCCCACCAATAAATTATCCATATTGGCCTCCCTTTAACCATGGGCAACGACCACCTTGGCCACCACGACCTTGGCCACCTGGTCCATATCCATCTTGGCCACCTGGTCCACCACCATATTAGCCACATGGGTCACTACCATCACCACCTGATCCAAATTTTCTTTCGTATCATAATTCATAAATATCAGCCATCAGTGCAGCCACCAGTGCAGCCACCTGTGTTCCTTGATAAAAAACACCCATATGGACACCAAATTCTCAACCTACCCCATGATTTGTCCCCGCTGCACCACCACCAGAACAACCCATGCCATCACCAAATACTCCAGTTAAAAACAACCCACCTGGACAAGCACACTGCCAACCTGGACTATCTTTTACTCCGGATGAAAATAAATCAATCTGTAAAATGACCTTTTCAAACCTGAACCACCATCTCGGTCTCCACGAAGACATGCCTCACCAACCGCAGTTACTCCAGATGATCATGACCCACCTGGACCAGCAGTGGGACCAACATCCGGTCCACACCCTGGGCTCGCTGGACATGTCACCCCGGACCAAAGAGAGTTGTTTTTATTACGAAAGAAAATAAAAGCATTCAGTCCTAATGGTAATAATTATTGTGTGGCCGTTGATGAGTAATTGCAAGATTCTCATCTTTGCCACCTGCGTTCAATTTAAATAATAAAGATATTTTTCTTCTGCAGAATTTAGTTGCTTTAATGTGACCTCGATTCAGACATTCGGCCCTTCGTGTTCACAGATCATGGCAGATCATGCTTGCTGCGTTTGGCATCAAATTACAACCGCCTGCTGGCTGATCAACGATCATCAGCAAAACGTACATGTTCCACTTCCCAAACTCAACTCAACTTTATTTCGAGACTACTTTAAAACATTCATTCACAAAGTGCAAGGCAGTTCTTTATCGACTGGACACACCTGTCTACACTGTAACACCGCCACCACCAAAAGCTCGTCCACTTGTTCATATCCTGTCCAGGCATCAGGATGAGTTTTATAAATTAATGAAAATTTCTGGTTTTAATTCTATTATATGGGGACAAATAGAATTTTTTTATTTGACTGATGCTTTGTGACGAAGAAGATATAAAAATAAGAAATAATTTAATAAATAGAGTGGCAGACTGCACCGTGACCGGCATGTGGGACGTAGAGACTGGCCGGGGAAGACCCGGAAGAAAAAGTAGTAGTACTTGGGAAAAGTGTGTGTGGAGCAGATGCGCTCAGTTACAAGCGTGAGTGCCATCGCGAAGTGTTTGTTGCTAAAATGGGATGGAATGAAGTCCCAGTTAAATAAGGAAAGACATCACTTTAATTTGTCTGTGTCTCACCACTCTGGTTGATGTCACTGAACCGAGACGTGCGTTACGATTACGATTCGGGGGAAAGGACAGTGACATAACCGGTTACAGTGTGCAAAGCCCGTACGTATGTATTTCAGTGTCTATAAAAGGTGCGCTCATGTGGACACAAAAAATGCTGAATGATGACAGGATCTGCAAAGTTGGCTGAGTTCCTTAATTGTTCGTTTAGGAACACAAGTTGGAGAAGAGAACAATGATGAGGAAGAAATATAAGTATTGAAGTGACTTTTTTTCTTTGTTAAATTAATAATAATAATAATAATAATAATAATAATAATAATAATAATAGTACATTTGATTTATAAGCGCCTTTCAAGACACCCAAGGAAACGTTACAATCAGGAACAAAAACAATAAAACACAGCACGGGTTGAGCAGCGGCAGCCAGACGCGCCAGCGTTCACTCAACCCCGAAAGTCGGAAGAAACCACAAGGGAGAGGGGGAGAAAAAAACCACGCTCGAGCTATCCTCATTTTGAGGATAGTTTGAGTTAGGCAAAAAAAAACCTCCTGCACAAGTATATGACAATTACAACAGGTCACAAGACATGAACAATGAAGGCGGTGATACAAGGGAGTGTATGTGCGTGTGATCGTCTGGTTGTGTGTGCGTGTCAGGCCTCAGCTGCTACGTCAAGGTCATGTCATGGAGACGGTCGTGGCTTATCAAACTATGGCCGAGAAGGAGGGGGTGATGGTAGGGCACTAGCTTCCATGCGCACTTTCATCAGGGGAAGGTCGAGATAGCAGATGTTGTTTTTGGTAGCAGGCAGCCCAAGAATTGCAGACAGCCTTGAAGTCCGTGGCATGTGTCTCTCAAATGGCGTCGATCAGCCAAATCTGCGATTTCTTTCAATATTTGAGCACGAATTCCAGTTTCACCAAGTTGTTGCCCATCTTGCAGTGCCGTTCCAAAGCCGCATCAGTTTGCGGTTGAGCACAGTCTTGAGTATGAGTGTTGGACATCCGCACTTTGCCATCCTTAGACCGGCAGCCTCTTCCAATAGAGCCGCTACCATCGGTTGAATTTTTCGATAGATCAGGAAACTGCTCGCGCCAAACAGCAGCATACCTGTTGTCAGAAGGCCGATAATGTAGATGTCTTCCACATCCTCAACGGACAGTGTTGACAGGCACACCATTCTCCACCTCCTCCAGGGATCTAGGGTGTACCCAGAAGCAAAAGTCCCCGAGGGGCAAGGAGGCTCCCCACTGCCTGCTCTTCTCGTTGAGAAAATTTTGTCGATGGCATCGAGAGACCAGCCAACCAGTTCCATGTTTGTTTTTAGGATGAAAATATGACAGGAGGAGGCTAGGAAAGTTAGACAAAAGACAGCACATGGACTGAGTGGCGAGCAGGGAAGGGTGGGGTGGGGGTAGGGGACAGGAGCAGAAAGCAAAAGCGTCCGCCTTCGTCGAGAGCCAAGCATGAGATGGCCTTGTGAGTCAGATGCAACCACAATGTGCCTCACCATCCAATAGGAAAACAGAGAGAGAGAGAGAGAGAGAGAGAGAGAGAGAGAGAGAGAGAGAGAGAGAGAGAGGGAGAGAGAGAGAGAGAGAGAGAACCTCTTTTTAGAGGCCAAAATATGGTCACCTTATTATCTGGGAGATTCATGATTAAGTTGCGCTCTCATCACCCAAAATGATAAGGGGTGACTCTGGATCATTGAGCTCATGTTTGTGTCATTGGTCAGCCAGCGTTTGCAGCGCTGTGTTTGCATTGGCTTGTGGTGGGATGTAACATCCGCGAATATAAAAGAGGAGAACTCACGTACTTAACAGAATGGCTTACCATTTAGAAAAAGCTATTCCGAGTCTGCGCTGCAGTGTGTGTTGAGCTTCGTTACAGTGAACCATTCCTCGTTGATATAGAAGCATATTCCACCACCTTTTGATTTTGGAAGACGGGTAGGTGCAGCGCGGCGTCCGGGTGGCGGTCCCTGTTTGGCAGAGAATGTAGATTAGTCAAATGGATCGATGGGAGCGGGGTTCGAAATCCACGCTGCCGTAGCAACGGATATAAAATCGTTTGGGTCAATCTCTGTAATTAGATCGCTTGTGTTTCGCTCATAGGTGTCACAAGTTCATAGCTCAACAACTTTCTTCCCTTGAAACTCCACATTCCATTGCTTAAATGCCTGCAGAAGCACTTGTTTGACACTAAAATCCAAAAAAATGAACTATTATTGATCTCAGTGCACGGTGAGCTCTTTCAAACCAAATGTCCAACTCTTCAGGCAACACAATAGCCGTATTGAAAAAGTCAGTAATGAACGATATGATCTTTTGTTAATTTCAGCTCTGTTCAATTGCACAGTCTGATGTTCTTTCTGCATATTCTATTTTCCAACTCGTCTTGTTTCGCTGGTATAATAGCTTCCTTTCTCAGCAAGGTAAGCTCACCGTCTTTCATGTTGCATTCCCTTGACTTCTGCGAAACTCACTCTGTTTTCTGTTGTGGTCAGTCTCTCCTCCAGTATGTCGATTCTCCTCTTAATTTCTCTGACACAAGCCCCCGTGCGCACTTGAGACTCCATAATGTCTCTTTGTGCACTTCTAGATTGTTCTCGAAACTTACACAGCTTCGTTCGCATTAGCATCTCGCTCCCGTCATTTGACTGAGGCAAGCAAACATCCAGCATAAGCTGCCTTTGGGTTGTCTTTGCATTATCGCTTTTCGCCAATTTAGTTGTCTCAACCCAGTGAAGAAACCAACCCGTCGGGGGCATTTAGGTCACTTTGTAAAGAGTAAAGAGTAAATAGAAGCATGTCGTCTACATAATCACCAACTCCATGGATTATTAAATGGGCATAAAACAATTGCATCAGAGTAACTATTGACCCCAAAACAACAACAGAACTAATGAATCTGATCACTCAGTTGAAAGGATTTTTGAAGACAAGGCAGATTGGGTTGTTTGCCTTGGATCACGACCTTTATTGAGAGTAGTTGCACCTCCATCTGAAATGACACCGGAATGCATGATTAGTTTAACCTCAAATACTACAGTGAACAAAAATTGCACTCAATGGGAAGATATTCCACAAAAAATTACTAACAAGGCTAAACCAAAACGTATGTGTAATAATGTAATAGCATGTAACAATTGTATATTCTTTACATTTAATTGTGGCGCAGACGTTGGACAAGTAAACAATAGCTATCGACGGGTCACATAAACTCTATCACCTTTCCCCCAAACCGCCAGAGCAGTTTGTGGTGGTGGTGTGGGGATAAACAACTTCGAGACTGTCTTGTCCAGGGTGATTCGGCCGCCCAGTCACTGTATTGATGTGACAGCGGGACGATTAGGGAAAGACCGGATGAGGAGACGGGACAGGTCGTGTTTGTCGTTGTGGGGCTGTCCGATGAGATGGTTTGGCTGGGAGACAAAATTATCATGGCTAAGAGAGTAAGGAGACAGATAGATGCCAGGGTTCATCTGGGTCACATGATTGGCAGTAACAGTGTTCTGGTCAGACATCAGGTGTACGGTCCGTGTCGTCCTGTGGTGTAACTGAGGAGGATGCCTCAGCACTTTCGTCAATGATGTCTCTATCTTCTTTGTTGGTGGCTTGGCATGTCATGTGATGCTGAGGAGCGCTGATTTTACCTCACTCTGTTGTTGGCGGTTTGGCCACGGGTTGGTCCCCGGCCATGGGACTTCAAGCGAGGTCCCTTGTCACTGTTTGTTAGTGGGAGGCGTGGACCCAGGTGGCCCTCTCAGCGACCTTCACGGCGGTGTGGGTGACGAGCAGCATTTGGAAAGGCTGAACCAGCGCCGATGTCTCAATTTTTTTGCATCTGAAGTTCTTCACCAGCACGTAGTCGCCTGGTTCGATGGTGAGCAGTGGGTGGTCTGCTCGTAGGGGCAGTGAGGCGGTTAATGGTCGCCTGATGGAAAAAAGAGACTGTGATAGATTTTTACAGTACGAAATGAGAGCGTCCTAACAGAGAGGAACACTTTTTGACAGACGCGTTTGGGAGGCCCAAGAGAGTGGCAGTGTAAGGGGACGAAGAGTGTCTGTCTCACACTGCTTCCAAAAGGGGGCCGCAATGCGGAAGTCGTTGAGCAAAACCTGGAGACAGTTCAAGAGAAGAAAGGCTGTGGGCCAAAGCCTCACAAAAGAGGGTGGGACTACAGGTCGGCCCAGAGTGAATTGGGGACCTGAGCCAAGAGTGATGCGACATCACCGGGAGTTAAAGAGAAAGCATGGAGGTCACTGAAGGAGAGTTCATTTTTACTCCAAGAGTTGGTGTCCGGAATTAAGATGCTTCGCAGAGCGTCACCAAGAGTGGGTGTCTGGAATGAAGACGACGCATTGCAGAGCGTCACCATGTGATGGCAAAGGTCGCTTAAAAGCGTGCAATGATGGAGGGAAGGAGGCCTCCAAGTCAGAGAGGGGTGGGGGCACTGTTTGTGAGTCAACATGATGTCGCAAGGGTATCATTACAATAAAGAGTCGTTCCAGAAATGTCGTCGTCGGGATGAGAGAAAAAAAACATTGTCAGAAGGCCTGTCCGGTCCTGTGTTGATGTGTGCAGTCACATGAAGTTGTTTTGGATCAATGCAGTCAGTGTTGGGGGGGTGGGGGGGTAGTTACGCTGCCCGAGATATTGCAAGTGGCCTGCAAATAACAAAGGTGATAGTTGTAAACGTAAAATGGTCGTTCATATAAGCCTTGAACTACTGTATCAGCTGATTGAGAAATTTCGAGACTTGTAGGTTTAGAATGAATGACAATGCCCAATCGAATCACTAAATCTCGGCCCAGCAGATTGACTGGACAGTGAGATAATTTGAGAACAGAATGTTGCAATGTTAATGGAGCTCCAGTTTCTCCCAGGATTGACCCGGGATTGACCAAGAAAACCTTTCCAAAACTTACTCACCGGATGCACTGATGTACCGACCGCTCATTTTAGGGGGATCGAAGAACTGAGCACGTAGCGCTGAAGTCTACTAAAAAGGACAGAGGAGTTCCTGCCACTAAACATGTCACATTTGGAAGTCGTTTGTAAGCTGTTATTTCACATTGGGCATAGGTTCCTGTTGCGGCGGTGGTTGAAGCCCCAAGTCACTAATCTTATACTGTCCTAAGGCAAGCAGTGAAACAGTAGCAAGCAGCTCTTCTTTGCATCGAGTGTGTAATGTGTTGTTTTGCGTGGTTGTTGTCTGCATTGGACCCCACAATGGACTGTCGTGTCCCAGAGTGGACGAGTCAGTTGGAAAAAGGGTTGTTGAGACTAAACCCTCCCTCTGGGTGTTGATCGATGGAATCGTGACAACTATCATGATTTGATTGCAGTGTGCCACGACATGGGCGGCGCAGGTGATGCGGGTGAGAACACTGGTTAGACCAGTGACCTCGCTGCCCGCAGTTGTAGCAGACATCATTGTCGTTGTCTTTGGGGCCTGGAGGGTCCCGATTTCCGAAGGGGCGTTGTTGACGTGACGTTGACGAGGGACCACTGTTGCATGTCCATCTTGATCATGGTGGGGTGTCGTCAGCTGGACCAAGGCCAGGTCAGCCTGTAGTGAGGCAGCCTGAGAGTGCTCATGTTTCTTTGTTTTAGTTTCATTTTGTTTCAGCATGTTTGGCATGGCACAGGATTTTGAGCATGTGATTGTCAGAACAACCTCCCACGAGGGTTGGCTTCATGGATGTACTCAAGTTTGGGTGCAGGCCCTCAGTGAATGTCATTTTCAATATTGCTTCAAACTGGCCTTCTTGTCCAGTACCCACCACAGTTGGTTCTTCAATTCCGGTGTGAATTTTGCATTCTTCGAGCAGGCGATGGTAGAAGTTGATGACGGTTTAGTTCTGTCCCTGAACACACTGTCGGATGCGAGATAGATCAACTCTCATCTGGAAGTTGTTTCAGAGAGCAGTTAAAATTCATATCAGATATTTCTCCCACTTCCCGTTGGTGTACCAGTCTGACATCACGTGAAGATCCTGATCTCTGGGATTCCTGTCCACCAATTCTGCTATCTTGGAGAAACCTTCAGGTTTGAGATGCAGCAGGAGTAGTTTGCGGAACTCACCACCAGTTGGTCGCCACACTCGACAGAAAGCCTCCATGGCCGCAGCCATCGCTTAACCTTCCCGGCCTGGGATTGCCCAATCTTTAGCTGCTTCACGCAGTTCAGGGTCCATGTTGCGCAGCATTAAGACTGGAGTCCCATTTGGTCCCGGGTATTCAATCATTGGTGCTGTGTCATGCCCACGTGACTCACCAAACTGTTGCCCTGACCTCGTGTAGGAGGGAGAGTTCATCATAGCTGCCGAGTCACCAGATGGCGCTGTGGGGGAGGATTCAGGTTGTGAGGATGGTGAGGGCACAGTGTAGCATCTTTGTTCATTAGGAAAAGGGAGAGGAGCGGCGTCACTTTGATCAGGCTGCGGGGGTTGGCCTCGAAGCCTTTCCTGTTTCGCCTCCTGTCCTCCCATGTATGGTGGAGGGACATCATCGTTTGATACTCCACAGCTACTTGGCAATTTGGCAAGACTTGGGTCCAAAGTGGACACGACAGTGGGCGCAGATGCAGACAATGTGGGTGCATTATGTTCATCAGTATTTGCAAACTCACTCTTATTCATCGATTTTTTTCTGAGCCTCTCTGCTTTTTCTCTCTCGTTCAGATGCCTCTTTCATCCACACATCAAGATATTCACGACTATCCCTCATCTGCCTTATCTCAGAAGGCTTTATTTTATTTTGTTTGAACATTTCGTCTTCTTTTGACTTCAAGCTTGACTTTAGACGTTCCAAGTAATTCATGCTTAGTGAACAATTTACCGGAAATCCACATTCGTCTCTCCAATACTTTGCACACAACAAATATTCATCTCCATATTTAATTTTCATTTGAGTGTAAATTCGGGAGGATAAATTCGGAATTTCGTCCGGTCCATTTTTACTCTGTGAGTCACCCATTTTTCTCACTTTAAGTCTTCTCAAGACCAAAAATGAGATAAAATAAAGTTAATGCGCTCGACGAAATTCAATGTCGAAGAAAGTAAACCCGACTCAATGATAAGAATCGGAGTAACAAACAATGCTCTGTGACCCTCAAGGTCAGAACTCTCAGGCCTCGCTCGACGAAAAAGATCGCAGCCAAAAACAAAATAAACCCCCTGCTCAACAATAAGAAATGGAGAAGGCCATCACGCAACGAAAAAAGATTGGAGCCAAAAACAAAATAATACCCCTGCTCAACAATAAGAATTGGAGAAGGCAATCATTCCAACAACAAAAATAAACCCTACTCAACGATAACAATCGGAAGAGGCGATCATTCAGTGTTCTCACACACACACACACGCACACACACACACACACACACAAAATAAAATAAATTCAATCTCATCTTCAAATTCATAAAATGTTCACATCATTATTGATCATGAATTTTGAAATCAGATTTACCGTGTCAAAGTATGGTTTGAGTTCGTCGAGACCTCGGAGGGAAGCTTTCAGGGAGCCGGATCTCAAGTATCTCGAATTTATGAGGACACAGTTCTTGGTCTTTTTTTTTTTTTTTTTTTTTTTGTGTGAAGAAGGTTGCACAGTCCAATTATCATCCCCCTCAAACAACCACTCGAGGTCCCATCTGGGTTATAATAATAATAATAAAAATACATTTTATTTATGTGCCTTTCAAAACACTCAAGGACACCTTACAATCAAACAAGAGCAATAAAACCACAGATAAAATTATAAATAATAAATAATAAAAGAAGAGATGAGTTTAAACTGAGTATGCAATTTTTAATAGGTGGGTTTTGAGATGAGTTTTGAATGTGGGAAGAGTGTATATTACGGATGTCGGGTGGGAGTGAGTTCCAGAGTTTGAGGGCGGAGCGACTGAAAGCTCTGCACCCCATTGTGCTGAGACGGGCAGAGGGAACACAGAGGTGGTGGGAGGCTGAGGACCTGAGGGAACGAGAGGGAACGGAAATTTGAAGAAGGTCAGACAGATGGGGTTATGTATGGCTTTAAATGCAAAGAGGAGTATTTTGAAGTTGATCCTCAGTTTGACAGGGAGCCAGTGGAGATGTTGGAGGATGGGGGTGATGTGATGGAAGGAGGGGGTTCTAGTGATGATACGAGCTGAAGAATTCTCGAACAGTTGAAGTTTATGGAGGAATTTGTGATGGACACCGAAAAGAAGTGAATTGCAATAGTCGATACGGGAGGTGACGAGACTGTGGACAAGGATAGCGGTGGTGTGAGGGGTAAGAGAGGGACGGAGACGGTTGATATTGCGTAGGTGGAACTATGCGGACCGGGTTATGTTATTAATGTGTGAGTGGAAAGATAGTGAGCTATCGAGGATGACACCCAGGCTCTTGACCTGAAGGGAGGGGGACACAGTGGAGTTATCAATAGCGAGAGAGAAACTGTTGGTTTTGTGGAGGGTGGATTTAGTACCGATGAGGAGGAGTTCTGTTTTGTCGCTGTTAAGTGTGAGGAAGTTGTGTGTGGACCAAGATTTAATTTCTGAAAGGCAGTGTGAGAGGGAAGAGGGTGGGAGGGAGGCATCGGGTTTGCTGGAGTGGTAGAGCTGGGTGTCATCCGCGAAGCAGTGAAAATGTATACCAAATTTACGGAAAATATTGCCAAGGAGGAGAAGATGGATAATGAAGAGGAGGGGTCCCAGGACAGAGCCCTGGGGCACACCAGGAGAGACGGGGAGGGACTGTGAAGTGAAGGAATTGAGTTGGATGAACTGAGAACGCCCAGAGAGATAGGAGTGAAACCAGTGTAAGGGGGTGTGAGTGATGCCTAGGGTGGAGAGTCTATTAAGGAAGATGGGGTGGGAAATTGTGTCAAAAGCTGCACTCAGGTCAAGGAGGATGAGAATGGAGATTAAACCGGCGTCCGCTGCCATAAGAAGGTCGTTGGTGATTTTTAAGAGGGCTGATTCTGAGCTGTGACGGGGACGGAAACCAGACTGGAATTGTTCGTATAGATTGTTATGGGTGAGGTGGAAGGAGCCCAGGTGCTGGTGGATGTTGTTGATTTTTTCAATAAAAATAGGAGCAGAGTGTTGCAGGTGTCAGAAGAATAAAAGTGGGGGGGGGGTAGTGAGACAGGGGGTTGAGTGATTTTGTTCAAGAGAGTAAACAGAGTCCTAGGATTTCCAGTATTAGAGCAGATGAGTGCAGAGTAGTATTGTGATTTGGCTTGAGAGATGGAGTCCTTGTAATGGCAAAGTTGAGCTGTGTAGATGTCCTTGTGAACAGTGAGTCCAGTTTTTCGGTAGAGTCTTTCAAGTTGCCGAGTTTTGGATTAAATGGAGCGGAGATGAGGGCTGAACCAGGGGGCAGACCGAGTGAAAAAGACAGAGTGGGACTTGACAGGAGCGAGCGTATTGAGTGTTGGTGAGGTCCGTGTTGTATTGGGAAACCAAAACATCAGGAGTCTGTGTCCGGAGTCAGGGTAGCGATCCTTGCAGCAAGAGAGTCAACGTTGATGTCTTTGATATTACGGTAAGAGATGATGCGGGGTGATTTGGAGGTAGAGAGCCAAAGGGTGACGTTAAATGAAATGAGGAAATGTCCGTGATAGGAAGTTCATCAGCAGTACAGTTGGAGGGGGTGATGCCAGAGCAGAAAATCAGATCCAGGGTGTGGTAGTTAATGTGTGTGGCGAAGTCTGCAAACTGATGGAAGCCAAAGCTGTCAAGTGAAGAGGTGAAGTCCATGGTGAGCAGAAGGGCAGTATTGTCCATGTATATATTGAAATCACCCAGAATAATTATATTTGGAGATAGAGAGGATAGATGGGTGAGGACAGCAGACAATTCATTTAAAAAGTCACAATGAGGCTTGGGGGCACGGTATACTGTGACAATGATCATTGGAGTGGGTCCGGAAATTTGACAGGCGAGGCATTCAAATGAGGAGAGAGGACGGAGAGAGATAGGAAGAACTTTCCACTTCTCGCGGTATAATATCGCGAGACCACCTCCGCGACCCGTGCCGCGGGGTTTGGATAGGTAAACAAATCCCGAGGGAGTCGAGTCATTGAGTTGAGGAAAGTCGCCAGGAGTTTGCCAGGTCTCATTCAGACAAAGAAAGTCAAGCCTACGGTCTTTGAGGATATCCTGGATAAGAAAACCCTTCCCAGTAAGCGAACGGATGTTGAGTAGTCCGAAGTTGACGCCGGCAATACCGCTGTTGCGAGGAGCATTAGCCGACCTAGCCAGGCCGGTTAACACGCTGTGGTCCGCGGATCGGCCGTTGTTTCTGCATTGCTGGCGGGAGGATGACCAGAAGGAGGTGATGCCTTTGGAGCCATCGAGGTGGAAGCTTCGACAAGACCCACGGTGGATATATTTCTGGGAGGGGAGAAGAGCGATGTCCGGGAAGTGGTGTAGCGCAGGTGGAGAGCTCGACCACCGAAAGCGGAGCATGAGAAGCTCTGCCGCAGAGTAATGTAGTAGTCTTCCACAGGTCGATGGAGGAGCGACAGGGTGGTCCATATTAGTATGGCCCAGACAAAGGCCCTTTTGACCCTCGTCATGGGGTACAGAGAGGTGGAGATGGCACGGGGCCTCGTCTGAGATCCGAACAGGTAGGACGCTGTTACAGCGTGATTGAGAACAATTATATGACGGTTTACGATCAAAACTGGATTGGCGACAGTACAACCGTAAAAAACGCGAAAACATGTTTTGCGGGTGAGCAGCGGCAGTCAGACGCGCCAGCGTTCACTCAACCCGGACGATTGCCACCTCACTTCTTGGGTTGCCAAATTGTCTTGTTCTGGGAAGCCAAGACAACAAGTATTATAAAAAATGATGAGATTTATTTAAAAAAAACATGGAGAGACACCGTTCACAGATCTGTCAAAGGAGCCTTCTAGAGGAGTTCCTGATGAATATAAATTGGCTCATCAAGTGGCAATGGGATTTGGGAATATCCTGATGATTGCTGCCTTGGTTTTCGCAATTTGATAGAATGTTTAATCGTAACTGCATTAGGGAAGAGAGATGACCTCCAGGAACTGTGTAAGTTGATGATGATAGACAATGACGATAACATTGATGATGATAACTATGTTGAAGTTTGAGATCTCTTTCCAGATCCAGGAGATGTTGATAGTTTTAACTCGACACTGCAGCCACATACAAGAGGAAGGAGTTTTTGATTACTGTTTTCCTTCAAGTGTAAAACCATCTGCTAATATTAAAAATTATCTTGCAATAGACAATCATTATCGAAGATATAGTTGGTGACACGAGAGAATTTGTGCAGATAGCGATAAAAAGGAGGGAAATGTGAGAATATTGTATGTAATTTATCAATCTCTGCTTTGAGATGTATGCTATCATGCATGTTTTCCATCTCTCCCTGTTGCAACACAATTGATTTATGTTCCTTCCTGGAATTGTGGTTAGTATGCTCGTCCCTTAACTAGAATAAGAGGAAATAAAACGAAAATGAGATGAAACAAAACAAAACAGGATTTAGAAGAGTAAATGTTGAGAAGACTACATAAGAATATATGTGTAAAGTATAAGTGTGTAACATCGATTGAGATATATGATTTGAATGTATGATCTGAACCATTGCATTTGATAACTTGGTTTTACATAATTTCCTTCTCAACAAATCAGCTTCTTTCTGTTCTCAGCCTTGGAAGATAAGATACTAGCCTCAGGACAGCACGCCCATGACGCATCCACAGCTGCTATTACAAAACCAACCGTCAGCATGATTCCTCCAATTATCTAGGAATACATTGTGTTTCCCCACCCCTTTAAAAGTTTCTGTATTCAGACATTCCCGAGGACAATAAAAGTAGGGAAACGAGTAAAGTGTTTCCAGAGCTGTTCGGAGACTGTAATGGATTACACTCGTTCACTCTCCTTGTGCACAAGCTAAAAGAAAACTCTGCTTGACTCCTGGTCTCTCTTGTGTTTTCAAGTTTGTCTTCGGGGTCTGGTTGCCTGCTAGACCTGACACTGTCTTTGGTCAGTTTGTTGGGTACGCCCTGAACCAGTTGCCAGCAGGACACATAAAGACAAACAACCATTTGCACTCACAATCACACCGAGGGACAATTTAGAGTGTGTTTTTGGAATGTGGGAGGAAACAGGAGGACCTGGAGAAAACCCACGCAGGCACGGGGAGAACATGTAAACTCCACAAAGGAAGGCCAGGGCCTGCAATCGAAACTCACACCTCTCCACTGAGGCGAACATGCTCACCAGTCAAACACCGCGCCGGTTGATAATTCTTCTTCTTCTCCTTTCGGCTTGTCCCTTTTCAGGGGTTGCCACAGCGAGTCATTAATTTCCATCTTTCCCTGTTCTCTGCATCCTCTACTCTGACTCCAACTACCTGCATGTCTTCCCTGACAGCATCCATGAATCTCCTCTTTGGCCTTCCTCTCTGTCTCCTACCTGGTAGCTCCATCTCTAACATTCTCCTACCAATGTATCCACTGTCCCTCCTCTGTACATTTCCAAACCATCTCAGTCTGGCTTCTCTCACTTTTTCTACAAACTTTCCTGTCTGAGTTGTCCCTCTGATGACCTCATTTCTGATCCTGTCCATCCTTGTCACTCCTAAGGAGAATCTCAGCATCTTTAACTCAGCCACCTCTAACTCTGCCTCCTGTCTTTTGCCAATTGCTCGTGTCTCGAGACCGTACATCATGGCTGGTCTCACAACTGTTCTATAAATTTTTCCCTTCACCTTAGCTGACACCCTTCTATCACAAATCACTCCTGACACTTTTCTCCAGCTGTTCCATCCTGCCTGCACTCCATTCTTCACTTCTCTTCCACAGTCTCCGCTGCTCTGCACTGTTGATCCGAGGTACTTAAATTCCTGTACCTTCGCCACGTCTGCTACCTGTAACCTCACCGTTCCACTGGTCTCCCTTTCATTTATGCACATGTACTCTATCTTACTATGACTGACCTTCATTCCTCTTCTCTCTAGCGCAAACCTCCACCTTTCTCGGTTTTCTTGTAGCTGCTGTCTACTCTCACTACAGATCACAATGTCATCTGCAAACATCATGGTCCAGGGAGACTCCTGTCTGACCTCATCTGTCAATCTATCCATCACCATAGCAAACAAGAAGGGGCTCAGGGCCGATCCTTGATGCAGTCCTACCTCCACCTTGAAGTCTTCTGTCCGTCCAACTGCACACCTCACCACTGTTGTACTATTCTCATACATGTCCTGAACCAACCTAACGTACTTCTCTGCAAACCCTGACTTCCTCATACAGAACCACAATTCCTCTCTTGGCACCCTGTCATAAGCCTTCTCTAAATCTACAAATACACAGTGCAGCTCCTTCCTACCTTCCCTGTACTTTTCCAGCAGCATCCTCAGGGCAAATATTGCATCTGTGGTGCTCTTCCTCGGCATGAAACCATACTGCTGTTCACAAATCTCCACTTCCTGTCTCAACCTGGCTTCAACTACTTTTTCCAAAACCTTCATTGTATCGCTCATCAACTTTATCGCCCTGTAGTTGCTACAACTCTCTACATCGCCCTTCTTATAAATTGGTACCAGGACACTCTTCCTCCACTCATCAGGAATCCTTTTTGTGTCTAATATTCTATTAAACAACCTAGTCAGAAAATCAACCAACACCTCCCCTAAGCACTTCCATACCTCCACTGGTATGTCATCTGGACCAACCGCCTTACCACTCTTCATTCTTTTTAATGCTTTCCTGACTTCATCCTTTCTAACCTGATCGACCTTCTTCTTGATCCTCTCTGGCTCTTCATTCCTACATTCCCTATTGTTTTCCTCATTTTACAATTCCTCAAAGTATTCTTTCCATCTCCTCAACACACTTTCCTCACTCGTAATGAATTTCCCTCTCTGTCTTTAATCAATCTCACCTGCTGTACATCCTTCCCAGCCTGATTTCTCTGTCTCGCCAATCTGTACAATTCTTTTTCACCTTCCTTTGAGTCTAACCTCTTGTATAATTCCTCATATGCCTTCTGTTTGGCCTTGGACACTTCTCTCTTCACTTCCCTTGTCATCCATTTGTACTTGAGCCTGTTCTCTTTTGTTCTCTCACTATCCCATCTCTTCTTCACTAATTTCTTCCTCTGTACACTTTCCTGAAGCTCAACATTTCACCACCAGGTCTCTTTGTCCACCTTTCTCTGTCCTGAGGCCACACCTAGCACCTTCTTGCCTGTCTCCCTAATCACTGCTGCAGTAGTCTCCCAATCATCTGGGAATTCCTCAACGCTGCCCAGAACTGCCCTTACCTCCTTCCTAAATTCTTCACAACAGTCCTCTTTCCTCAATTTTCACCATTTTATTTTCTTCTGTGTCTTCACCCTCTTCCTTTTCCTCACCTCCATTGTCAGCTTGCACACTACTATCCTATGCTGTTTGGCTACACTCTCTCCTGGCACCACCTTACAGTCATTAACTTCCCTCAGATTACCTCTTCTACATAGGATATATTCTATCTGTGTGGACCTGCCTCCACTCTTGTAAGTTATCAGGTGTTCTTCTCTCTTTTGGAAATAGGTGTTTACCACGGCCATTTCCATTCTTTTGGCAAATTCTACCACTGCCTGTCCTTCCAAGTTC